CGCGGGGTCCGGCGTCAACAGGCGCTGCAGAAACCGGAGGGGGGGCGGGATGTGAACGGATGGGGAGCCGTGAGCTCCCCTTTGCTGAGCCCTGGGGCCCCGCCAGCGGGTGTAGATGGGTCGAAGAGCAGCGAAGCGCCAGGGCCTGCCCGCTCCCACCGCCGAGGAGAAACTGTCTGAAAATTGGAGCTGGCCATAGGGTAAACAAAAGGTATAATTATACCTTGAAATCACTTGTTTGGGTGGAAACTGCAGCATACAGGGCTCTGATCCGAGTAAAACTTGTAATTAGGAAAGAGTCAAAGCTTCTTTGATGCTAAGTGAGGGAAGTAAACGTGTATTTCAGAGGATTTAAATCTTAAAATCTCAGGCTTTGTTGAAATTAACTTTCTTATACAGATTTTACGACAAGAAATATGAAGTATTTTTGAAACTTGTGGAACATCAGAGAGAGTATCGCTCCATCATGAACAGTTGCTAATCCAGAGTCATGTAATCTGGGAACAGCAGGGATAATGAATTTCCAGATACTTGTGATGAGGGTAATTTCTTCTTACTGTACTGTCTACGTTAAAAGTATACTTTTATCATTTAGAGCGTACATTTTAATTTTTAATGAGAAATAAAATGTCCTCACTTCACTCTGAAGTACTGGGTATTTTCTGTCAATAATCCCTGCACCCCAGGGACAAGGAATAATCACTTCCTCCCGTCAGAGAAGACAAGACAACCAGCTGCAGGTACCCCAGTGCCGGCATTTAGACTGGCCACAAGCAGGAACAGCACAAGAAAAAACATAACTGACTGGGATGGACTTGAATTGCTGCCCTTTGCCTTGTTTTTCACAGGTAACTACACCTGGCATCACACACATGCTCCTTTTAATTCTACTACCTGCTACAGCTAAGACCCAAACATGATTTCCATTGGAAAGTTCTTTCTGGTTTTTTTTTTCCACTTTGATTATAGTACTTCTTTGGTGGCTGGTATTTAAGAATCACTTTTGCAGCTGTGCAGTCTTTTTCTTTCTGTTTTCTTCTGTTTCCCGCTCTCTTTTTTCTGTCTCCATTCTTGCAGCGCAGTCATTTTGCTACCAATAACTTGTGCCATTTTGTCTTTTGCAAGTAAGTCGCCCTCAGTGCGCATTAATCACTGTGCAGATGTGAAACGGCCCGCTGTTGACATTGAAAGACTAGGCTGAGCAGACACAGTTGCTGAAAATATGTTCATAATGCAGGTGCATTCCTTCCATCCTGCCAGCTGCCTCGCGGGGAGTCAGCCCTGAAACAGCCCAGCTCTCCCCGTCCGTTCTCACCACATTGCTTCAGCCAGACCCAGCTCAGAGCATGTGCATCTACACAGCCCGCCAGCTGCAGAGCTGAACTCCGCGACAGCAGGTACAGGGAACGCAGAGGCAGAGAGAAAGGGTTTTCCTTCCTTAGACTTGCATTTGTCAAGGCTCAGAAACATTCCTGTCTGCCTGCTCGCCAAATCCAGTCAACAAAAGGCTTTTATTTGTTCCCAGGTGATTTTGAAGGTTGCCCTGGATAGCTAGTCCAACAAGGTACTGCCAGGCTCACAACGACAGGTCGTGGCATAACTGGGCTGTGGAAGGAGAGAGTTCGGACACTCTGGTTATATACAGCAAAAATGTTTCACCCTCTGACAGTACAAATTGTTTTGATCTTGCAAGATCCAAACACTGCCAGTGCCTTCAGTGAAAATCTCTCAGAAATCCTTTCTTTCTCTGCCATTTGTCCGTTACTTCTTAATAAAAGATACTATTCTGTTTAAAAAGCAAAACTGGGGTCCCCATCTGAAGGAGAGGGTTAAGAAGCGAGGGGTGACAGAACAGAAGAGCGTATTCAGATCAACTAGAGCTCTGTTACAGCCACTCATAAGAACCCTTCTTTTCTTCAACCTGCGAACTGCCACCCTCTTGGTGAGCCTGTATTATGCACGAGAAACAACCTACAGTCCCTTTCCACAGAGTCCGTATTCATATAGATGGACTCCATCTTTATACACTTAGCTTGATAGAAATTCCATTCTTTAGTATTGGCATAGGCTGTAATTCCCAGTTAAATGCAAACAGAAGTTACACAATAACAAAATTACACTTAGAGAACTTGGAAAATAATAGTTTCTGGGTTTTTTTATGTTAGCAGTCAGCACTCAAAAACATCTGGTAATTTTTTTAAAGAAACAATGCACTTCCTGCCTTGTAGTTCATGGAAAAGCAATTGTTGCCATTTCCAAAGTACCCATTGTTAAGAGAAACAGCTTTACAAGTTCAGGGACATAATTAAAGACAATGAAAGTTGATGGGAATAAAATGAAGAAACATCATAACAAAAAGAGTATAACAAGCAAGAAAACAACTGCAACATAATGGTGTATCATAGCTTACAATTCAAGGGCACAATAAAATATGTCAGCTGAAAATACGTAGAAGGCAAAAACAGTTGGATACCAGTGTATTGTGAACAATAAATATTCACAAATTTTAATATACAATTCATATGTAAAAATGAAGTCCAATGACTCCAAATACATAGCAAATGTACAGATTATACAGGGACAGATGTGTAGGGTTGTCTGGCACTCTACCAGCATTTTTAACTCTTTGCAGCTCAACACAAACAGGCATGCACACACACCCCCCAACTTCGGCAAACTTTCCATAAACTTCCTGCTATTTATATCATCATCATAAAATTGGCCTTGATCTCTCTGGCTGAACTGGTACCAAGACTTACAAGGAAATCACAAGGAGTGTATGAAGTCTAGAAAGGAAACAAACAGTCGTGCTGACTTTGTTAAAGCTTAGATGCACAGAGTTCAAGGAAGCTATGTACCTTGCGTAGGCTTACACCAAAGAGTTACACAGAGATTTGTTCACATTTCCTGCACAATTTTTTAATGCTTTTCTCCCCTTGTAATACTTTTACTTTATAGTTGCCTTTTTGTTCCAATGTTACTACCAGTTTCACATTACCCATTTTAAAATCAGGTCTGTACTCATTGCAGAGCTGTAAAAAATCTGTATTCCAGTGGATGTGTAATCAGCTGTGATAACACAAAGCACTGATACATGATTTTGTAGTGCTACTAGCTTAACATTCTTTGTGTTACACAAAACTTAGCAAATTGTACAGTTTGCTAAGTTCTCAAATTAAAATTTTATTCAAATGGAGCCAAGATGTAAAATGTTAAAGCTCAAGAGTTTTAAAACTCCTCAACTGCACGTTGATTGTAATTTTAGGCTCTGTTCATAGCTTTAGGCATTTTCAATTCAGGCACTTTGTATGAAAATAAGTTACAGAAAAATGCAGCATGAAGGAGTCTAGCAAGTACACAGTGCAAAACTAGCCTCCTAAGCGCTTGCACATCGAATCACTTGGCCATGCCAAGTATTGCTGAGTCCTGCTTCAGCTTTGTCAGTAGCAGAATGACAAATCCGTCATACGCTGCCCCAAATCAAAGAGAAGCCTGTCATCGCTTGATGAAGTTTGACCAAGGAATCCAAGTTTGAGTCAGTCAGGACTCTGACAGCGTGCCCTGAGCTGCAGACCTTGCCATATTTACCCCATTAGATGCAATTTGCTGACAAATGTTTATCATGCAAATTAAAAGAAGGGAAACAACCACCATGTCATCAGCTGTTCCAAGCATCCTACAGAGAGGCCCAGGCTTCACGTCAAATGGAGAAGACGAGCATATGATAGTTCCAAAGGAGCAAACAGCAACTCTCAGGAAAAAAATCCATACGAGACCACCCCAGGTGAAGATTCCTCGCAAGGCAAGAGTCAGGAATAACGGCATGTCATAAAGGTAACCTGCAAACTAAATATTCAGATGAGTTACGTTATTTTGCATTCTGATGCACGCAGTTGTTTCACTTCAATGTGTCTCTTAAACACTCTTAGATTCACATCTTTTGAATGCAGAAACTTTCTGTGCTGTCCAAACCCATCCACGCTGTTCAGTTATTTTACAATATCTAGAGGCACACTTCTAAAAGGAATCCCCGCTGGCCCAGCACTTTGAAAATAAAATATTATGCTTGACATTGAATCCTTTTGGAAACTGGGCCTTAATGGCTGCACTGAGTTTATGCCTGTCTTTAAAATCTGGCATCAAGTGTAGGCTGTGAATGCTTGAAAATGAGGCCTTGAGTCTTGCCTTGGTGTGGACAGGGACCATAGGACTGAGTGATTATTCCTCTTCACTAATGCTAGTTTGTTGGGTTAAAAAATGATATTCCCCTCCACAGTGCTTAGTTTAGTCCGTAGATTGAAACAGACTCCGCAGTCCTTTCATGCACCCTACCAGGGTGTGACAGGAGAGGAAGCACCCTGTCAAGAATGGGCCTTACTTGTGCCTTCAGCCCTCATCTTTCACATCATTCCCACTGCCTGTCACGTCTCTGTACCGGCTGGGATTCCAGCTTTAGGGAGGTGCAGAGCCAGTGCGGACTGTTCGAATTTGGCAATACCTGGGGAAAAAAAAAGCTGCTTTCTAAGCTGGTTGAAATTTTAGAAGCAAGTTAAAATACTGGAGTTCAAATCTAAGTTCATATTTGAAAGTTCCAGCCTGACCATCTCTAGTTCTGCTTTGCTTCCTGTATTTCGTTCCACACTGCTTTCTCGTCCCTGCCAGGATGACTGCAGAAGGACTCCGCTGAATTAGGAACTCCAAGAAGCACCTTTACTAGAAGGTGCTGGACCCAGCAGGGGATGGTAACACTTCCACTATGATATCGCCAATAAGTGCATGGAAAGGTAATTCACATCATGATACAAATTAGTTTTCATTGCTGGGTCTCTTTCAATCCTCTGTGTATTATGCACTATTAACTAGGTAAATGTAGATTTATAAATACTTACGGGTCGAGGTTGCCCTGAGAAACGCTTGTTGTAATCTCTAATGTCATGTACAATTTGTTTACTTGGCTTATCTTGTTGCTTTTCACAAGAGATGTTATCCAGAAGAACCACCTTCATAAGAAAAGAAGGTTGGCGTTAGCAGGGTGTACCTTAATCTCCCCTATAAAGGACAGAGTTCTGTAGGACATGTCTCTCCGTAGTCTCTCTCTCGCAACTCAACCTTTGTCCAGCTCTGGCAGTTCCACAATAGCAAAAACATTTTCCTTTTATAACCTGCATCCAACCTTCCAGTACAACAGGCAGCCTCTGACCAGGGTCAGATGAAATTAGGAACTTCCATATTGCTTTTTATGGAATGCTATCCCAGAGATTCAATAAACTATACAAAAGTAAAATGCTGGAGGCCTGTTTAATATTTCACAGAGTTGCCCGATGTGATGTGTCAAATGATAAATGCGAATGGCTGCAGGGTCATTCAAGTCTAAGTGGGTTTTGAAATGCTTCGGAAAATTAGAGGATAAAGAAAGTTGATCCTAAGAGCTCAAGCTTGTCATTTTGTATGTATCATAATGCAGATGTGTACAAGGGAGGTAAGTCTTACCTTTTGTCTGCAGAGAGGGCAGGTTATTGCTGCTAACCAGGGACTATGTTTCCAGTATGTGATCAGACAGGAACCTACCAAAAAAAAAAAAAAAAAAAAAGAAATTGTTTTAAGATACATGAAATATATTTGAGGGTATTTAATATTTACAAGGAAGTTTTCAGAATTAATAAACCCTCTTTCTGCAACTGACTGTAAAAATGAATGTAATTCTGCGCTTTCATTTTAATACATGCTTTTACTCTGCAAAGTGACTGTGTAAAAATGGAGCCTTAGCTCTTCTACGCTGGTATACACAGAGATACATGGACCTCCAAAGGGAGATTTTGATTCAGTTTCTTTTCCTGTGGATAGCGTCTTGTTCTTGAAGCTCCCCTGACTGTGGTTGAAGCACTCGGGAATACAGGCACCCTTCAGAGCGCAGCGTTGGCTGCTGTGGACAGAAGCAGTGCAGCTGCATAAAGGTGGAGTTCCTCCAGAGCTAGTATGACTTGTAAGGATTATGAGGGCCAGTTATCCCAAATGAACCAACATGCACAGCCAAGGGACAGCCTGGTGATGCAGGCTCCTGGTGGCACAACATGTATCTTGGTGATGAAGTATCATACACTGGGCTATTTTGTCTGTTTGCTCCCCCCCGCCTCCCTTACTATATTCCAACTCTGTCACCCTTCTGGAACTGCATAGCTCTGCAAGAGCGAGTTGCTGCCTTCTTTTTGATTCTTCTTACCCAGACAACTGCTAACTGATTTCCAAACACAACATAGTAAGGTCTCAGGTGTGGAAGAGGGCAGAGTCTGAGGACAGTAAGATTAGACTGCACTGACAGCAGTGGTTGACATACATGAATGTCAGTGCTGGCACTAGCAGCAAAAACAGCAAAGCATAAATAGCATCTAATCAGAAGCAGCACAGCTTGACTTTCAGCTCCCGGGCGCGGTGTGCAGTGTGACAGGTCAGGAAAAAAAAATCTCTCAACATTTAAACTGATCAAAGTTGACAAGGACCCCAGTGAAAACAGAAGCAGAACGCTGCGCTGCCATTTTGATGGAATCGTTTCACTGAATTGAACAATGCTCTTTGTTCTTAAAAATAACCAGCAAGTTATTGTAAGCAGCATTATAACAAGGAGTCTTCGGGAGCCCTCAGTGCAAGGTTTTTTCTGCACCCAGACTTACTTTGTCCATTGTCACTGAAAAGGGGAATATTGGAGAAACTGTGTTTGAAATCAAGTAGAAAAATGTTCATGATGCCATCTGTTACATCGTCTATACTAGGACTAGGGATGTTAAATTTGGCCCAAAGATATTTTTTATGAACCTCGCTCTGTCTTGTGTTTTTTACTTTTGTTTTCATCTGAGTGCAGGGTTTTTCTTTATGACTCTTCTATTTTGTTTGCATATACAGTTGGCTGGGACATGGCTGTGTTTATATCTAAATCCCCATGCGGTATGTATAAACTCAGCCTGGCAGCCAGCTTCCAGCTTTCGCCTGAACTTTTGCATTTGACAAACATCACGCCTGACTTCAGGAACTGCTTTGACCCTCTGGGTCCAGATCCTGTATCGTGATCCACAGGGCTGTATTGCTCTGCCTCTGCTCAGTCCCAGTGATGACAACGGGGCACTGATGGATCCCATAGTTCTTCAAGGGCTTTCAAAAAAGAAGCCTGTGGAAATTAAAATGTGCTGCATGCAGAATCCTTCCTTGAACAGGAAAGGAAGGACTCCTCTGAAGTTGACCTATTTGTGCTTTCGTGCATTTTTCATAAAATAGACAAAATCCTGTTTTAATCTAGCCTGCTACACAACCTTCTGAGGGAGTCTGTAGGTTTCTCTAAAATACCTCTGTGGTTATTGTTAATTAGAAAAAAATAATATTGCTCAAGGATCGCTTTTCAGTTGAACTTCCTGAACATATGGTTCAAACTGAAGCTGAAAAGGAAAACTTCAGGACAAACTGTATGAATTACTACTAATAATAAAATCAGACATTTTTTATAAGTCCACATTAATCTTCTTTAAAAGCTCTGGGTTGACCACATTTTTTAAATAAAACTTTTACCACAGTGGAATTTATTAAGAGAGCTCAGCATTGCCTTAGCTCTGTTCCACAGGGCATCAAGAGAAGTTTTATTACTGATTTCAGTCACAACAGACTTAGATCTACGCAGAATGGTTTTGATAAGCCTGATGTAAAGTTTTATTGGTTTAAGACATGAAAAACAGACATGTTACAGAGGCCGCTTCTACTATATAAACATAGTCATAACATATATAATGCACTGCACTGGAATCAATGCTTCAGAGTGTAAATGATGATGTGCTTGAGGAAAGTAAAGCCTAGCTAAATACATACAGCTAACGATAACAATATATACCAAGCTTGTATACGGTACTTCTTCTTGGCAGATCTCAAAATAAAATAAAAATAAATTCCGTATCATGATGTCATATTCACAGATGAAAAAGGGAAAATTAACCAGGCCAGAGAAGGAGGAAAGTTGATGATCTTTGTTGTTATGTCTGTCTTTGTACTTGAAACTGTAACTACTGTGGCATTATTTGAAACGCGTTTTGAGGCCATATGCTTACTGTTTGTCCTGGAGTGAGTTATATTCAAAGCATCCTTTTCCTGTATGTTATAAAACAGTGTTATAAAAACATGAAACAACCTAAAGTATTAAATGGTGTCACTCATGAGGTAGATGAGCCCTACAAAACGTCCCTAGCTGTTGGTGATCCACTGATTTGTTACGGTTTCAGAGGATGGAGATAGTGGCAGTGGTGATGAGGAGTTGTGCTGTGTGAGCATCATTTCAATCCAGAGAAAAACGACACTTCCTAAAGATAAAAATGTGCTTATATTGCACCAGCATTAACAACATGGTCCCTTGTTCTCATTTGTGCTTAGGTCTTTTTATAACACTCCTACATAGTGAAAAAAGTGTAAATGCCTTGTAAATATAACTTGCACTTGCTTTAAGGTCTCTGTAAAATGCCAGAGCAGTAGAAAGGAGCTTTATGGTTCTGCCCAGTGTCTTCTGATGTGTCTTGCTGTTGCAGTATCAGATAGTACTGCCTCCAGCCGCCTGCCTGCCCCTCTGCCAGACAGTACTGATCCCATGCTGCACAGTAGCCCTGAAGTACCTTCATGGGCAGTTTCAGCCCCATCAGATCATGAACACCAGTTCTCTTCTGCCAACCCCGCTGTGGGGATGACAGCGTTCAGCAAGGAACCCGATAAGCAGCTGGGGCAGCGAGGGTGTAAACTTCACCTGTAAATTCACTGGACGATGTATCTCAGAGGTCTGAGAGAAACAATGTTCAGGCCAGGTATGCTGGTGGCCTTATCCTGCTGCCTCTCCGAGCAGGTGCAAAGCTCCCACTGGCTCTAGTGGTGCAGACTGTGGGCCTTAAAAATCCTGAAATCCCCTTTATAAATGCAATTATGAACATAACTCCCTCCGCTATTCTGTGCTTCATCCTTGTATTCCCTTTGAAAAATTACTTAAATTTTGTAATCCTAACCATATGGCTTAGCAGCCTCAAAGAAGGCATTTAGCAGACACATTTATCTAGAGAATTATGGTTTTACTTAAATTTTCCAGTGACTATAGATGACTGGGGGAGGACAGGAGATCACACCGCGGGCAGCCTCAACAGAAGGACCCTCTAAATCTGGATCTGTCCCTTTCCTCTTAAGACAGATCCTGGACTGCAATAAACAGCTACTGAGCATGCATCGTGATGAGATGTCTATGAACATTTTTCTCCTGTATGACCACACAGATTTACTTAAAAAACAATAAACAGATTAAAAGAAGGTTTATACATGACTAGAAACTCACTTTTTGAAATGCTTAATATGTAACTTCCACTAATTTTTTTTTTTTTTTTTTTAGAAAATTTTTACAGGACTACAAACCAACATAATTATGCCTTCTTGCTCTAGATCACTTCTGCTTTATTTTAGGCAAATGTTTCACATGGGATGCAAGTCTGTGGAACAGATCAGTCTTATGCCCAGTGTGTCTTACTTCTGATTTTCACCAATATAAATACAATCAGAATTAATTTTATGGGATAGCTGGATTTTTATGCTGTTGATTAAAAAGACAAGCTGTCTTCCCAGAAATGAGTTCATGCTTGAAGATGAGACTTCATGTTTGTTACATCTTGAGCTTTCACAGTTAAAAACTGTATGATTATTAGACTGTGATTTTTATAACGGGGTTTTTTTTGCATAGTTGAATATAAATTGTGTGATTTTCTGGTGCATTTTACCCATTCCATGAGTTTGTGTTGTAATTTAACAGTGTCCTGTGAGATGATCTGTTACTTCCTGTCGTCTTAAGACTTCTTGGGCATTTTAGAAGTGGCACCTTGTAGATGTGAAGGCAATGAGCAAATAAAAATACTGTTACTGATTTTTTGGGGGGATATAAAGGTGGGACTTCTCCTGCTTCTAGTGAGAGCACTTAACGTTCATTCCAGGGAGAATTCCTTGAGATTTCTGTAAGAAGAGTGCTTTATTTAGTAGCCTGTATAAGCACTGCACTGTCAATCCAGAAAACTTACCACAGAATACATGTCCACAGTTGGTTTCTACTGGGAGAGTAGCTGTCTGGAGACAGATGGGGCAGCTGAAGTCACTGTGATTAGTAGGTTGCCAAATTTGGAGTGATTCCTGGAACAGAAGTAGTACAGAGTCTTCAAAAAATGAGTATTTTGACTGACATATTCAGTTCATTAATAATAACTTACTATGATTAGCAGAGAGTCACAGAAACTAAGTGTAGATGTCATGCATAACTAATCGTTACCTCAGCAGATAATGAAAATCAGGCACAAAGAAATGAAGTGCTTTGTGTAATCCTACAGAATTACCAACGTCAGAGGTAAGAGCATGATGGTACTTTTCTGCTTCCAGTGATATATCCACACACCACTGGATAATATTTACGTTTTGAAAGCCAGTCGAGTTTGCGCCACTGGCTTGTCTAGCTGTCATTATCAGTCAGACAGAACCTGAAGTCTGCCTCCATAGCTTGTGGATCTTTCTCTTCCTCCTTTGTAGTCATGTCTATCACTTAAATGTACTGAAATAAAGACCGGTGCGTTCGCTGCCTTCCTTGGGTGTGAGAATGGTATTCTTTGTGTGTACCATAGGCTATGTAACAAAAAGACTCCTTTATTTAAGTAAAAAGATTGCTTCCAAACAATCCTTCCCTTTGCTTAGCAAAATCTATAATTAAGAATAATATTGAGCTCTGTTTTTAGAGCGGGAAGATAAGAATTTTGTAAGCCTCTGAAATGCTAAAAAGGCATTTTGAAGCACATTTGTATTACAATATTTCTGTAGGGGAAAGGCTGAAGGATGTACGTTGGTCTTCCAGTTTTTGCTCCTAAAGCATTGCCTGAAAGCAGTCAAAATCTATTTGGCAGTATATTCATCTATGCCAGGATTGTTTGATACAGTGGGAGGCAAAAAAACCATTCTTACTTGATATTGATTCCTTACCATATTGAAAGTTTTTGCTACTTTTATTATGCTGCATTAGCTAGTCTGTAATGGATGATGAACCTGCCTACTTCGTCTTAGCACACCATGGAGAAACTTGCATTTGACCATATGTTCAATTGCCATAACCACAATGAGATCAGTCTTTGAAGAAAATGTAATAATAATGTGGTTAGTGTCCTTTCTTTCACAAGATAAAGTTATTTCAATGTTTCTATCAGTCCCAGAAACAGAGGAGTGCTTCTGAAATTGGGAGGGAGCTTCCAAGAAGCTCCTCCACTTTAAGGCAGAGTCTTGAAGGTTATTGACTGTCCTCCACTGCCTACGCATGTTTAGTGAGGTTCAACAGGAGATGGCATCAGTTACAGTTTTATTTTGTATTTCGATCAAAAAATTATGAACTTCACATGTTTCTTAATGACCACAGAGGTCCAGCATTATATGGAATGGGTATTATTTCTCCATTTCTGAAGTAAAGCATTCAGGCGAGATGATGGCATACTTTGGGATTACAGTATCACTGTATGCTTGCTGTCCCTCGTTGCCCAATTTGGATTGCTGATTTCTTTTTCAGATACGTGATTGGCAGCTGTCTACATGATGGATCAATGAATACACTTCCAAGTATTTGACCTATTTATAAGAGAAAATTGAATAGATCCTATATTTTGCACGTCAAATACTGGAAGATCCAGAGTGACTGAAGATTCAAGCTCATTTGACAACAGATTTTATTTAAGTAAGTAATTTTTCTAATGTAGTAATTCCAAGAAAGAAGAGAGAGGTCATCATGTAGGTCTGCCAAAGGAATGAGCAGGAAACCGGGTCTCTTGCCATAGCCATGTCTAAAGTGACGAGTTCACCAAAGTAGTAATTGTAAATCAGCATCTTTAATACCAGTCTTTCCTTCCTATAATGAGGATCTGTGAAAAAGAAAGAACCAGAGGTTTTAAAACAATGTGCCATAACTATTGGAAAAAGTCTCTCTCCCTTACGGTTGTGAAGTTACAGATGTATTTGTTTCTGATTCTCAAAAGAAAAATTTCAGATGCTGAAGGTGTTTACATTGTTTTCAGATTTTCCTCTCTATGCACTGATAAGATTATCTCCTGCTGA